TTTTTGGGGAAACATGGTACCACCCAACCCTAGCATTTGCTGGTTTGGAAAGGAAGGAAACTAGTTCTCTTCTTTTCCAGATCCTTTGCTGTTCCCTGCACTGCCATGTCCCTGGGATCCTCTCCTGGGAATGGGCTCTGGAGTGGCCCATGAGAATCATCTTAACTTCCACACTTACCTCCCTCCTCTCCTTTAGAGAGAAGGCTTGGCCAAGACAATGGTGACCAACATGGCTAGAGATGCCACCTTGTACTGTGACCATAAGGTGAACTTAAAAATAGAGTGGCCACATCACTGCCCTCCACCAAAGACTCATGGGGGTTCATTCTTCCTTTGCTCATTAATTTTCCCCAAGGACCATGGCTCGTCTCTATGTTATGGGTGCCCTGTCTCCACATCTCCTTCTGTAGTCCCAACTGTCAGATCAATAGAAGCACCACTGCATCCATGAACCTCTGTAGGAGCAGGAATACACGTGTATCTCTCCTCCTGTGAGGACCCACTTACACAAAGTGATTGCTCACCGCTTTACATAAGAAGTGAAAGATGAGAACATCTATATATGTGTGTTCCATCTGCATGGCTCTGTTACTTACATTATCGCCCTTGACCTTGATGTTTAGGGGCATCACTATCCCCAACCTGTGGGAGAGAACCTCAATAGCAGAGTCTGTGGAATCTTTTCCCCAAGATCACTCAGCTAGTAAATGGTGTCCCTGACAATGGAGCAGTAGTCCTTAGTCCTAGCTTTGCTCCAGAGCAGTAAAAGGGGAAGGTGGACAGTTTGGGATGGGACATTTCTGGAACCCTGCTCCACTGATACAGTCGTTAATGACATTCTCTGTGTTCTTGATCCCCCTAGAAAGATTAGAATTATAATGATATAATTTATTAAAGAGAATGATAGAAGCTCACACAATGCTTGGTCCAAATCTGTATTAGCTGAACAAAATGCTTAACCCTCCCAAGGCTGCTTCCTTGGGAATAGTGGAAATTTCAATAGTAGTGGGCACAGACGGGTGTGTTTTCCCAATGTCTGCTCTCCTGTTCCTCCTGAGGACTAGAGGATCACTACTCAGGATACACACTACATTTTCTAGCAACTCTCACAGCTTTTGACAAAGCACTGGCCAATGATATCTATGGTAAAGCATCGTAGGTCTCTAGAGACAAATGGACCACACCCTTTGCCCTCATTCTTGTGCTTCCCTGCTGGCTGGAACTGGGACACTGTGGGTGGAGCTGAAAGCTGTAATTTTGGACTATGAAGAGATCCAGAGAGTGGAGTTCACACCCAGAAGAACTCGGGTTTCTAAAAAATTTCTGAAGAAAAGTCAACATATTAGCTTACTTTCAGTCTTGGAATTTACATGGGAGAGGGATGACTTTTGTCTTAAGACATTGTTATTTTTTGGGGTCTCCCTTACCTTCGCCAAATCTCTTCTTAACTACACAATGTCTTTCTTTGAGGTTCCAGGTGAATATTAGGTATATTTTGCTCCATGGACCTGATACTTGGCGGCCATCAAATAAATACCAATCGGTCAATATTGTATTATCACCTAGCTTTGCACATACACACATCCAGGAAGTTACTCAGAACTGTATTAAATAAAATTCGTGTTCCAGGGAAAACCTTGGCTGAAAAAATACTCTTAGGCTAGGTTGCTCTTCATGGAGAGACAAAAATATAGTGTAGAAAACTCAGTCCGTGCAAGTCCTTC